CATCGGCATCTGATTCGATTCAGATATGGCATAGGCGAATGGGTCACCTAAACTTCCGCGATCTAGTCAGCGCATCCGAGAATCTATTCGCGGAATGAGCCTGAGAAGGGGGCACGAAACACCGGATTGCGAGATTTGTATTCGGGGGAAGATGACGCGACCATCGTTCCCGAAAGAATCTAATCGATACACGGAAAAGCTGGGGCTCATTCATACGGACATATGCGGGCCGATGCGTGTTTCGTCGAATGGTGGATCAAACTATTTCATCACCTTCACGGATGATCATACGCGATGGACGGTGGTAAAGTTCTTCAAGAACAAGAGTCAAGCTTTCGAAGAGTTCAAGGCATACAAGTCGTTCGTCGAGAAAAAAATGTATCCAGTCTCACAACGGGCGCGAATACGCAAACAAGGAATTCGACGAGTTCCTGAGGTCGCAAGGTATACAACCTCGATTTTCAACGGCCTATACTCCGGAGCAAAACGGTGTAGCCGAGAGGAAGAATCGGACCCTGGTGGAGTCAGCGAGATGTCTTCTGATCCAGTCCGGCCTGCCATCGTCGTTTTGGGCCGAGGCGGTTTCGACGGCGAATTACGTTCGCAATCGTTGTCCTACGAAGAAGCTTAACGGACAGACTCGTTACGAAGCCTGGGGCGGGGAAGCGCCGATGGTGAGTTACTTCAGACCGTTCGGCTGTAAAGTCTTTTGCTTGGACAAGGGTCCGACAAGAGGGAAGTTCGACGTTCGCTCGAGGGAAGGAGTATTTATCGGGTACTCCGAGGAGTCGAAGGGATTCCGAGTCTGGTTACCGGAATCGAGGAAAATCGAGATCACCAGAGACGTAAGATTCCTGGAGGAGGATTTCGGAGCATCGAGTACACCGTTCGAAGATTTTAGCTCGAATGACGATTCACGCGACAGATCAACCGATCGTGGGGGCGTGATTATCGGTCTTGACATTGAGTCGAGGTCACAACATTCCAGGTCAGGGGAAGACGACGAGGAGGCCAAAGCAATTCCCATCGAGTCGGATGCAGTGGCTGATCGGCTCGAGGAGACATTACCAGGTCGGAGACGTGGGCGTCCTCGTATAATCAGAACCGGACGACCGGGTAGACCACGAAAGGTCTACGGCGGAGACGAATCTGGGCCAACGGAGATGGCCAACGTTGCAGAGGTTCCAGTGAATCAAGCCATTTCAGGGGAAGACTCATTGGCGTGGAAGAACGCGATGGCTTCGGAAGTGAGGTCGCTGATCAGGAACGACACTTGGACGCTGGTGGAGCGGCGAAAAGAGCAGCGTGTGATCGGGAGCAGATTCGTTCTGCGCAACAAATATAACTCAGACGGAACAATCGAGAAGCGGAAGGCTCCTGTTGTGGCCCGAGGATTCACCCAAAGGCCGGGCGTCGATTTCCACGACACGTTTGCACCCGTCGCAAGGTTGTGCTCCGTACGCGTGGCAGTGTCTGGCTGTGGAACGCGGCACGACGATCGGACAGATCGACATTGGAACGGCCTACTTGAATGGGTACGTTGAGGAGCAGGTCCTCATGGAGATTCCGGAGCATCTCGGGAGCATCCTGGAACATATCGTCCAAGACGGTTCGGAGGATGACCCACTCAAGGGAAGAGCGACTGGCAAAACTCAGGAAGGACAACGTGGTTTGCTCTTGGAATAAGGCTCTATACGGGCTGCGACAAGCGGGACGAGCGTGGCACCGCCGGTTGGACCGAAAACTAAGAGAGCTCGGAGCGGTTCCGTCAGAAGCTGATCCCTGCGTGTATCACATTGGACCATTCGAGAGCCGATGTTCAATCATTGTCTATGTTGACGATATTTAACTGATTTCGCGCAACAAGAATCAAATCGATGGACTCGTGAGGTACCTCAATACCAAGTTCGAGGTCAAGGACTTGGGGGACATCTCATACTGCCTGGGTCTGGAGTTCCAAAGGAGCGAGAACGGCATGACTGTGAGTCAAGGAGGATACATTGACGACATCCTCGAGAAATTCGGTATGTCCGATTGCAAGTCGGTTTCAACGCCTATCGTTTCAGGCATCGATCTGTCGAAGGAGGAAGCCAAAACCGACGATCAACGGGAGGACGTCCCCTATGGTGAGCTGATTGGGGCACTTATGTACTTGTCCGTTGCAACGAGGCCTGACATAGCACACGCGGCCAGCCGTTTGAGCCAATTCAACGACGGAGGTCCATTGGAAGGCCGCCAAGCGAGTGTTGCGTTATTTGAGGGGCACCCAAGACATGGGCCTGGCGTATTCGCGTTTCAGCGATCCCCCAGTGATGTACGTGGACGCCGATTGGGGGGGGGGGGTGCCACGTGGATCGCAAGTCATACACGGGGCATACTTTCATCGTTGGCGGAGCGGCGGTGAACTGGGAATCTAAGAAGCAACAGCCCGTGGCCTTGTCATCGACGGAGGCCGAGTATATGGCTCTGTCTGAGGGAACCAAGGAGGCCCTGTACATGCGGAGGTTGCTGCAGAGTTTTGGGGTTGACCTGGAGACAGTCGTCATCAGAAACGACAATGTGGGCGCACAGAAGCTCGCGTCGAATCCAATGTTCCATTCCCGCACGAAGCACATTGATATAAGGCATCACTTCGTGCGAGACGCTGTCGAGAAGAAACTGGTGTCCATAGAGCATACACCAACGGGAGAGATGGCGGCGGACATCCTCACCAAGGGGCTACAACGAGTGAAACATGAGAACGGCGTTCAACTCCTTGGAATGAGACCGATTCGTTCATAAGGGATAGGTCTTTTCTCTCTTGCTGTGGCTCCAGGGGAAGTGTTGGAGAAGTCGCATCCAGATGGTGCGATCCGCACCGAGACGTCGGATCTGACGGTGGTGGCGCCATCGCGTGGTCTCTTTCGGGCATTCCCGTTCTTACATTCCGTTCTGTAGTACGCGCACGACTCGCGTTTCTTTAGTAATAGAACTGTGTTGTTCATACCGCTTTGTTTGTATCTTCCTACACGATATCACTATCAGTAACATTGTTGCCCGTTAATAAACTACGGATTTTTATCTCAATAACGAACTACGATCACCTCTCGTTTAATTTCTGTTACGTTACCCTTTCGTTAATACGTTATTTGAAAAATGAATTTACAAATTCCTGAACCTCTCTCTTCAAATAATTATTAGATTCCGTCCTGTTTAAAAAAGTAAGTGTGCATTCGTCTTTTTACGTTGCACATAATTTTCCTACATTTATGCTTCATTCATTAATCTCTTTAAGTAACAAGCGAAAGATGATAAAAACTATGATTTTATTTGTTTCGTCATTTTTATTTGCTATTATACGCAGTTTTCTGGCATGCATGCCGACTTTCTTCTTTGGAGCTTTATAGTGCAAGCGTAGCGCGTAGCCACCGCTAGCGCGGGAACTCGGCTGGCAAACTCGCGCTCTGATTGGTCGGTGTTTTTCGTCAATATTTCGTTAACAAAGCCTCGGATAACATTTTCGCTGAAGAAACAGTTGTTTCAAATCATCCCAGGAATCCCTCATTTCCGGGAAGACAGACATTTGTGAGACACCCTGTATATTCGTTGTTTGTTAAATCGCTATCTTCGACACGATACTGTCCGAATAATTTATTCAAATAAATTTCTTTTTCTCAGACTCGATCTTTACAGAATACAAGTTGCGACGAAATAGTATAAAAGTAAGTATAAAATATAGCATAAACGTTTTTTCATCCGACACTTAGTTTTCGAAAAAGTCGAGTTTGGAAATCCACTGTGTGTGTATGCAATTACGGCTAAAATACACCCTTCGATTCTTATGTTTGGGGTCATTTAAAAAGAAATTTTGTAATTAAGATATTGAAGGTCGAAACTAATTCAGGGGTTATGCCTACCTATAAATTTTGAGAAAAATCGATTTTTTGGTTTTAATATTTTCGTACAGTACATCATCTTAGAAATGTTATGTGAAAGTTTGAAGTCGATCCTACCAAAATTGGCAAAGTTACACCCGTTTAAAGTATACGGTTTTGAAAGTTTCGGAGCAGATATAAAGTAGTAGAATCCCTTTCTAGGGGTGCGTGAGTTATGCATACTGTGCCCTACTGCAATGTATGGTTGGTTAGTAAATACACAAAGCTATATGAAGCCGTAATACTAAGAATAACTATATATCAAAAATTTGTATTAATTCGGTTGTAAACCTGACTTGAAACTTTAAACGTGTTTTCCTCAATACCACATTTTCAAAATCGGTGACCAAAATATCTCGAGCGCTCGCTGCACCGAACTGATTCAGCTATGGTGGACTCATTCTATACATAAAAATCTAGTGCCTGATCGTGATTTTTTGTATTTCATTGCGTAGTTTTTATTTTATAGATAAAAAATGAACGATTTTTTGGCGAAAATCGATACTTTGATTTTGAACAGCTGCCATTTTGTCGTAAGTTTTCAGGATAATGAATGATCGGGCTCTAGATGTATTAATATATTAACTAAATTTGCTTGGATTTTTTATTTTAGACAAACGAACTCGAAGTTACAGTGGTCACCGCAAAACGCATAAAATATAAACGCTGCCGGGAGATCGCTGATATTTCCTTCATTTATTCATATTTTGCATTGGAGAAATTTTTATAAGCTCTTTAAAATGTACACTTTCGAATACAATGACGTATATTTAAAAAAGTCTTCAAGTTTTTTAAAAATAAATTCCGAAAGTACATGTCTTTTTTCGAGCTCGCAGGTAGACATAACCCCTTAATACAAAGTATTAAACACGCATTTGACTTCTTGAAAAGTCAAAACACGTTACCGAGAGTTCATGTATTCGTAACTAGACGGGCACAGCTATGCGTACGACAGCGAGGCAATCAGTGTCAGTAGTTATTCTATAAGTGGTACAATAAAATAGTTGACAAAGTATCTCCTTGTACTTTATTGAATTTAGTAACTAATAGATATCACGTAGACATTATGTACATACGCGATGAACATTATACGTAGCTCGGTGAATCCTACAATTAGGCAGCCATAAGTACATACGCATCCCAGATAGTACCGTACATGCAACAGACGTCCGTTTCATGTCCAGTTTATGCCCGAATATCCTATGTCCATTTTGGACATGCCTAGGATATTCGTAAGACTTAAAATTCGGATGTTCTAGAAACGTCCGTCTCGGAATTCCTGTTACATTCGGTAGTTTCAGAACCTCATTTAATTGCACGTTTTCTCGTATTGTGGAATGATGACGAGAAATGTCGACGCTGAATTGATCAACGGTGATCGCGAGGATCGTCAAACAGGAAATGCTTAATCGACATTCCTCGTCGTGCGTTGCACCAGGGGACTGACCAAATCTCTACACAATCTTATACGGTCTCCAGGGCAGTATAAGCACACGGAGAACGACACAAGTTCTTCTTCTAATTTCGACAGTCGCGTTTAACGGTGCTTCGGCTTTTCATTGCATGCGGCGGCGAGCTGAGTGACAAAGGTCACTCAACTGTATTTGGGTTTCCATGATGATATCTTTACCTTGTGCGACGCGACTTTGCGATTACGCGCGGCCTAACCGGCGAGTCTTCTAAGACACCGGACCGCGAAGTGTAACGTCGAGACGGTGATAACGTATCGCGCCGACCGAAAGCTTAAGCGCATTCATCATTCATCTCCATCATCATTGGTATGCTAAGATTTATTTGTATCTTTCATTTATTTCATTGTTGGAATATATCTTTGTTGTTATCAAGAATTTCCTATCCCTCCAGTTCCCTATCCAAGACTGCGTACTTCACCGGTAAGTATAGACAGGGCGTGCTTTAACACCTTAAAAAAGCCATGACCCGTAATTTTTGATAAAGTAACGACTGCAACGCGGGATGTAACATCAACAACGAGGACCGATCGCCAGATTACACGTGCTGACGCGGCGTTTTTTTAAAGCGGCACGACCTTTGTTTTGCGCTGCGAGAGCATCAACCTGTATTAAAACTTGCCGTCGCGGACTGTTTAAATTTAACATTTTGACGGCCACTGTTACGTATGTGTAATTTTGTTAATCAGTGTTTGTTGGCCGGCATAATACGCTAATGATGCCGGTGCTTGGCTTGAATTTTTGAGTAAAATGTGTAGCCGTCAAAGTGTTAATAACGTACGACATACAACTCGATGAACAATGTTCTATCGGGAACCTTAAAATGAACATAAAAGGAAAACTTACTTCAGTGGAGAAACTGCTTCCAGAAACACTGTATAAAATTGGAGCCGGGAGTAAGGACTCGTCGTGAATTGATGCTGCACACAAAGAAACCAATGTTGTTCTTGCCAACAGGAATCCAAAAGAAAAGCCGAAGTAAAGTTTCTCAATGATGCCTCGCATAGGACTGTGAAAATTTTAATATTAATTCTGTCTATTTTTTATCTAAGAAAGAGCAGTGAACATTGATGCAGCATTGCAGTTAACATTTTTAAAGTGATAAACAATCCAACAAGACAAAAATAATCAGCAAAAGTATAAAATAACGCATAGATGATTAAGCATGCTTATTAATTAAGTTTGGAAATACATAATGCTTCTTCCCTTTAAATTTCAAATACAGTCTCGATACATATAGTTGCAGCTCTGTGTCAACTATTCTGAGCGCAAACGTCGCATAATAAAATAACTGAACAAATATAAACGAACACGTGATATAATCTCGATATAATTGTGAATTAGCCACAAAAATCTATGTTTACATAAATCATTTCATTCCGTTGATCAATAATACTGATTCAATGATACTAATAGTACTATACTGAGATGAAAGTTACCTGAAAAAAATGGAACGAATGGGGATATGATCTTTGATTTTTTAGTTTTCTTTGGATACATGTAAATAAAGTAACTAGAAATGGGATAAGAACAGGAACATGAGGCCCAACTCTAAATCCGATTATGGCGCAGCGCAGAAGATCCTGAACGTGGTGGACGAACCTGTGCCTACTTCATCACAGGGAGCCACTAGAAGGTTGGTAGTCGTGGACGAACCTGTGCCTATTTCATCACAGGGAGCCACTAGGATTGTTAATATGGGTCTCGTAACTTTTAAGAATTCGGTACACTTCGAGCGGTAAAAGTGTGCCTTTGTGGGTTCGCTTCTAGCTGGGAATTTAGATGTTATTCTAGAGTTGAAATGAACAGCACTGAATTATAAATATATGAACGTATGTAAGTATATTCAATAAAGTGAAGGTTTTACAAATGGTACTGTAAAGTGTAGTCGCGGAAGCTAATTCCAACGTTCTCGGTTTTCACGCACTGAGAAATGCGGGGTTGTGTCTTACAGAGTTTATGCTTACTTTTGAAAATACTTGAAAGGGACTTTAATACCCGATCTCACTAGCTAGACTTCTAGTATGATTATGAACCGCAGATGAGCTGTACGTGTCTCTTTTTATATCCCGAAAATCGAGTCTAAAAGTAGTGGGGGACACACCTGTTCTCAACGGAAAACTGTTTTCCAAGAAAATCTGGCCACGCCATAACACCCCGTGGCAATTACGTAATTCGGCCGGATGCATTCCATATCCCGATAGGGTTAAGAGGTCACGAGAGTGCTTTGTACGTAACAAGCTGAACAAAACCCCATGTTGCTGTTTTTGTTTTTTCTTTCTAGTTATTTCTTTTGTATGTATTCAAAAAACGAAAAAATTAAAGGAAAACTAAAAAAGAATCTTATTTATATTCATTTTTACAGCTGCTTACGACGGACTTTGATACCATTTTTCTGACCGACACTGAATTTTCTGGACGAGTGACTTCAGTTCTTAGAAGGTCGAATCCTATAACTTTCAATCATTATTTTATCAAAACTAATTTAATATCTGCGCAACTTCCTTGGTCGGAGTGATCCATTGACTCGCGGAAGCGTCGTAGGCGGATTTACGGATAGCAATCGGAGTATAGGCTCTGAAACCGATAAATCAGATGGCAAATAAAAACCTCAAGTTCATTAAAATTGAACGATACTAAATTAGTATTGCTTCCTGTTCGTTAACAATTATCATACTAGTAAAAATTAACCTGCAGTTAAAGATTAGGACGAATACGTTTTGATCACGCGACACTGAAACGAAGCGCGAGCTCCTCATCTCCCCGTAATTGTGGTTTCGGCACTCAGGATTTGCAAACTTTGACTTCTGACCGATCTCATCACCTGAATATTGTAGGATATGTCTGATATGTGTGGCATCTCAGCGTTGGGGCGTTGAACCGGCAACCACGAAGGTAAAAAAGGACAGTTGTGAACAAGCTGTCAAACTGTCAAGTTTTGTGGATAATTTAAACCGAATAATATTGTATAATGTTTCAGTTGTGTATTGGGTTGCATTCAGTTTCTTATTATTAAATTCTTATTAATATCACTGTATAACTGAGTAGTATTTAGTTGACCCAATCACCGTCCATTCCTGATATTCAGATCCCACATTACATAGGATACCTCTGGTTGAGTAGTACAATCTGGTACGCGATGATTCTATAAGAAAAAATAAGTCGAAAAGAAGAACAAATTGTTTTCATACGAGTCTTAGCTTTTAAAAAAAAACCATTTGTAAGTTTCATCGAGTATGCGTGTATTCATGGTGACAATAAGTAGAAATGTAATGTGATGAACCCGTGTTACCCAAGTCCTATTCAGTTGCACGCGTATCCAGAAAATTCTTGAATTCGATTATCTCGGAAATAAAATAGCATAGGAGAAAATTTTATTATGTGTTTTCGAATTGTTTTGCATGTATTTACAATAGCCTCTTGCCCGGTTGTACTACCCGACCTGAAACACCCTGTGCAGGTTGCAATTCGAAACTTTCAAGGCCTGTACTCCTCTTGCCTCTATGCTGCTCCATATGAAATCATTCCAGCTTTGCATAGCACATGTATATAATTACAGTTAGTTTTCTCTATTACTCGGCAATAATAATCTCCACGTACACACTGCAGGAAGAGTCTGTAACTCTTACGCGGTGCGACCTCAGATGGCGAATCGGAGAGTGCTCGCTAGAAATAGAGGGTAGGGCAGAAATAAAATATGCTCCTTGGACCAAGCAGACTAGGGGAAGGAACCCCGAAAATAAACCAAACACACAACAGTTCAGAAATACTGCAACCATTACTATGCAGAGGCTCGGAACCTCAGTATCGGCATTTATTGGGAGTGAGCAAGCAGGCTCCCAGGCATCGTCGTCCGATAACCGCAATGCTACCGTGGTGGCATACTTAGCCACGGTAATAAATAATGCCACAAGTGAGGCGAGCAAAGCATTGGTAGAACTTGGTGCCAAGATAAAGGAACTGACCTCCTTTATCAAAGGCAGATCGAATGTCCACATCTAAATTCGTTTTCATTGAAGACAAATACGTAATTCGCCAAGAAACAGGAAGAAATAGGGAAAAAGTTGAGAATAGGCACTCCCACTCTATCGCCCATAACTTTCTTATATGACCATGGATTTTGCTAAGGTTAGGCTTGCTTTCTTCGTAAAGGTAAGAATAAGAATCTGGTCAACACAAGTTTCGCTCGATTTCGCCGAAACTATTGGTCCGATTGGAAAACAATGTATGAAATAATTGTATGTAATTTAATTACCTTTAATTTAAGAGTCATCGCGATCAAATCGGTCAACTATAACGCGAGATACGACCAAAAACATCGGGTCGTCTTTTTAACAAATTACCACAATATTTACCGGGCGATATCTCAAAAACGTATCCATAGAATTACGTTTCATGTCGATTTTTGAGTTTAGGCGACCACCTTCCATAAGAATTTCATAGTGGAGTCAGGATCATATAGAATCTTTTGGCTTTTGTAACCTAGTGTTATCAGAGCGTCAGGCAACACGACTTACGTGGATATCCTGCGGAAGATGAAAGAAACCGCGGTTCTGATCAGTCTTGGAACCAGCGTCTCCATAAGCAGGAGGAACGCGGCTGGAGATTTGGTTCTACAACTGGATCGTGGTGCCGACCAGAGAATGGATAGGATCCGGAAATCAACGGAAGTATTCCTAGGTGAGGCTGCCAAAGTAAGGTCGCGCGTCCAGAAGACCTTTCTTGAGTATAAAGATCTGAACGAAATCACGACGAAAGAAGACTCGTACATATACGAGTAAGCTAAAGTGTCTAGCATGCTTATTGCTTCTGCTCCCAAACATCACTCAACATTATGTATGAAATATGTAAAAATACTATGAGCTTCGAAAATGAAATATTCTTATTAATATAAAAAACACAAAAATACCTACTGTAATATAACGAAAATAATTTTTGTAGTCAAACACTACCTCTCTGCTCGACAAGCGTCCAACGACTACGCAATCAGCATTCTAATGTACAAGTAAATCAACTTGGTAATTTCGACATTAATAGAAAAAGGTTTTATTAAAACAAACTTGGTATCAATTCTGGAGACATTAATAAGTTCAAAAAATCTTTATTTAATAGAAACACACGATTATTATTATTATTTACGATTACGAATTATTTATTATTTACGAGCTTAAGAAATGCGCACTCAATGTTAGCGAAACATTTACGAAGGCATTTATGTCGCCTCAAGTTCATGATAGCTAAATGATATTATTTTTTTTAAATAATACATCGTGCTCTTGCGAACATTTTTGTATGATTTATCATAAGAAATAACTAAGGATAATTATTTTCTATCCCGAAATTTGCTATTATTTTAAAAGAAATTAATATTAACAAAAATTTACAATAGTCTCCAATCACCAGGGCATGTCCATCCACTGCGACATTTACCTTAATTGTCATATTTATTTTATTTTTTATGTTTATATTTTTTTATGATAATTTATTTTTATGATTCCCCATCGATATTATTTTTAGACTTTATGTTTAATGTCGACGGTAATAATTTTAATATTATGTACATACATACATCGTTTACGTACATTGTTACAGTACCTGTGTACATATGTACACATCTTTAGAAATAAATTTTCTCGGATCTTATATTTTTCTGTACTCAATACATAACGGCTACAATTGCTCTCTGACAAAACTTCGTTTCTTCTATTCAATTTGTTGTAACAATATACATGTATATTGTACCTATGCGGTTATTTCTGTTCCTTCAGACATTCAATATTGCAGGTACCATTTTAAATCTTTCTGACACCTTTATAATAAACAAAGGCTCCAAACATTTTTTATGTTTGTACTTTATCAGAAGCGATAATAAAAGGATATAAATTTGTAACACCTTTCACATAAGTAAATATGTTCCAAATTATACCGTATTTGGTATCGTTTAAATCGGAATAATCTCACCCATGTGTTAATAAAAGTATCGTTAACAAAGAACCAAAAGTAAAAAAG